GACACATGCACCCCAAATTATGGAAAGAGCCCAAATGTCCATCAACTGATGGACTGACGAATGGATAAAGTGGTATACACACACACACAATGGAATATTAATCAGCCATAAAAAGAAGGAAATCTTGCCATTTGCAATGATGTGGATGGAAGTAGAGAGTATTATGTTAAGCAAAATAAGTCAGAGAAAGACAAATACCATATGATTTCACTCATATGTGAAATTTGAGAAACAAAACAGATGAGCATAGGGGAAAAAAAAAAGAGAGAAAGGCAAACCATAGAATAGACTCTTAACTATAGAGAAGTGAGCGTTGCTAGAGGAGAGGTGGGCAGGGGTTGAGCTAAATGGGTGATGGGCATTAAGGGGGGACTTGTGATGAGCACTGGGTGTAGTGTGTAAGTGATGAATCACTGAATTCTACACCTGAAAATAATATTAGAGTGTATGTTAACTAACTGGAATTTAAATAAAGACTTGAAGAAAAAGAAAAAAATGAACTAGATACCATTTTTAAAGTACACTAGAGAAATGTCAACTTGCTGGTAATTAAAACATACACTTCACATTTTGATTGAGCAAAAGAGAGGCTTTCTTGTTTTGTTTCTTTCAATTCCTGTTTCAAATAAAATATTAATGCTGAATATATTATATGCCATTTAGATTTCTTTTCATGCAAATGTATATAGTAAATTGAAAATGGTCTTTCCTCTAAAATGTTTTGCTATCAATGAAATCATAACATCAATATATTCATCAGTTGTGTTTTATTTATTTTTTTTAAAGATTTTATTTATTTATTTGAGAGAGAGAGAGAATGAGAGATAGAAAGCACGAGAGGGAAGAGGGTCAGAGGGAGAAGCAGACTCCCTGCTGAGCAGGGAGCCCGATGCGGGACTCGATCCCGGGACTCCAGGATCATGACCTGAGCCGAAGTCAGTCGCTTAACCAACTGAGCCACCCAGGTGCCCCAGTTGTGTTTTATTTTTCACCAGCATTAAGATTTACTCAATGCAGGTAAACATCTGTAACTCTTAGGATTATAGAAAATAGTGCCATCTATTGAACTTTTAGGCCTTGATCCTCCAAATATTCCACAGCATTATATCAACTATAGTCACAAGTGAGCTAAAGCTGTTGGATGACGTCAATTTTTCAATCATTTCAAGTTCTTGGGGGGAGTTTTGTTAAGTAATCAAGTTCTTACCATTTTATGGTGATTATTTGACATGTGTGTGTTTTTTTTTTCTTTCCCCAAATAGGTTATTCATTCTTACTTACTCAAAGGCAATTGTAAAAATACAGATCCTTTCATTTAGAGTACAGAAAATTCGCTTTGTGAATTTTCATGTAAGTTATTGATTTTTATGTGCATATTATTTACACAGAATAATGGAAGTCAGTGACTTTTTACCTACCTAAGAATAAATTAAGTGAAAACTGCAATATAACTATACATAGTTAAAACCAGAAAAGGGCATTGCAAGAATCTTAAGAAGTGGAATACATTCCTTTCAAGAGAAGGAATAATATAGGGGAATTTTACACCCCAAGATTTTTCTGTGAAGGAGAATTGGGCATCAATTATGTCCTTCGAGTAAATACTCAAGCTATAGAAGGGCTGATTTGTTCTTTCACTCTGAATCTTGCAAGGGTCTCCCTTGCTTAACATTTTCCTGGCCACATGTATGCACTGTGTAGAACTGAGCAGTGGCCATCCTCTTCTTAGGCATGTACCAACCGGTCTCTGTTCTGCCCTCTGCCTCCCTGACAGTGACAGGCAGCCTACTTCAGCCTGGATCTTTATTTGCCTTTCATCCTAGGCCACTGAGTTTGCAACTACCTAGTGGAAAGTCTTCATAAAGGAAATTAACAGTCTAGTTCATTCCCTAGTTTTCAAACACTTGCTCAGAGTCAATTTATTTCAAATTAAAAAATACAGTAATAACCTTAAAATACAAGATACGACAAACTGATTCACTTCCTCGGGGCATGGTAGGTTACAGACAAAAGAAAAGGGGGAAAAATGCTTTGAAGGAATATTTTTGCAAAGTTTTGTGTGCAGATATTTATACTAGAGTTGATCATAGTAGTGGTATAAAAACAATGGCTCTCTGAGTCAGGTGAAATGAGAAAGAAGTCAGAAGGAGACCTGTAAAAAAGTCACATCTTAAGAGAAACAAACTACTGGATCCATTTGATGACTGGATATAATCTTTACATAAGTTGAATTCTATAAAGATTTGTGCATTTCATGGTGCTTCATGAACATAAGTCCTCATAATATATCTCTTTTTTTGCCAAGCATTTACAGTTTCCCATTATATATGTAGCCATTTGATGAGTTATGATGCTCAGAGGTAAATTAAAAATAATTTACTACAGGGTGCCTGGGTGGCTCAGATGGTTAAGCATCTGCCTTTGGCTCAGGTCATGATTCCAGGGTCCTGGAATCGAGTCCCGCATTGGACTCCCTGCTCAGCAGGGAGCCTGCTTCTTCCTCTGACTCTCTCTCTCCCTGTCTCTTACGAATAAATAAATAAAATCTTTAAAAAAATAATTTACTACAAGCTACTCTTGTCAAGATGACACTAAGTATTCTGAAAGCAGCATTGTGTTTAATGCAGTATGAGTACAGATTAAAGTATCTCTTAAACAAGTCAGAGTGTTAGGTTCTGGATGCATACTGACTCTGTTTCAAAACCCTAAGTGCATCTCACAGTGTGGCAGGGTTGACATCTGCCATCGTTCTGCATAGACTGCTCCTGACTGAAGAAAGGTAGACCTTCCTAGATACGTTGAGTTCATTCAGAGAGTGTACATTTATTCTGTTTCCCCCATCAGGTAAAATAACAGTTTTCACCATAAACTGATGCTTCAACAATAACCCTGTTATTAATCAAAAGAATAAAATTAGGAACAATTTCTCCATATTTATCAAAAGTACAGTTTTCTGTTGATTTTTAAAATCAACTTTAATGGACTCATAAATTTAAAAATTAGTTTAGGGAGAGAAGGAGGGAGAGTGTGAGAGATGCTATTTGCATCCTGATCAAGCATTATTGAATCTTTGTAGCGTACCCCTTAAATTTCATTCTATTACGAGCTGTAATATTAATCTATATCTTTCAAATAGCAGTGATAGTATCTACTTGAAAATAAGGTAGACAAGTTGCCTTTGTAAACTGTAATAAAGTTTATGTTCAATTGAGGTTAGCATTATTGCTCATTAAAAAAAATCTTTGAACTTTAGTGTCTTTATACTATAAAAGAAGAGCATTAATAGAGCGGTATATGTGTATATGCACATTGTGTGAACTGAGTGATGAAATAAATACAAAAATGCACTGTAATTTGTAAAGTTACAAAATTGAATTTTGTGGTTTAATGTAATGTGAATTTATCTATGATTTATAATAAACCTACTTTCTTCATAGAACAAAGGCCACATGAATGAATCAGGTCACATAATCTATCTCTAGAACCAATATATATACATATATATATATATATATATATATAAAAGATTTATTTATTTATTTTAGAGAAAGAGAGTGGGGGGAGAGACAAAGGGAGAGAGAGTCTAAAGCAGAGTCTGCGCTGAGAGCAGAGCCCAACGCGGGGCTCAATCTAAAGACCGAAGAGTTGATACTCAACAAACTGTGCCACACAGATGCCCCATCTCTAGAACCAATATTTTAAATTGATGCTACCTAACTATGAACTTGACTTGTATGTCTTTGAACAATGGTAGTTTGAAAGAGTATTTAAATTCAACTCATCCACTCATTCATCTAGCAATCATTTATCAAGGGCTGGGCTCTGATCTGAACACTTAAGGTTACATAGACAATTTACGCATCATTCTTACTTAAAGAGACTTAAAATAGTAGAAGCCATATGTACCTATGGAAATAAATATAACATGAAAGTGCCATGTAACAGAAAACAAGAATTTATTAACTCTTTAATTCTGCAACAAATTTCAGAGAAAATTATAACAAGACTTTTAAACAGAGAAACGTGAATATGGAAAATTCTGGGTTGAATTAAGAATGTGTAAGACTATTATATTTTGGGAACAGGCAGTATACCATTGTGGCTAGGCCTGGAGTCTACCAAGAGAAATATTAAGAGATATAGTGGGGGAAAGCATTTTACACAAACTTGTGAAGAGCCCGTATTGACATACCATGGTGTCTACTTTATTGCAGTTTTTAAACATCATGTGTCAAAAAGACATAAGGGATAGCACCCCTACAGGATTTTTATGATAATTACAGATTATTCTATAAAGTGTCATTCACAATTTCTGCCACATTAGAAATACTGAAATGTATTTCTTTCCCATTCTGATGATGTCATAAACACCATTTTTTCTTCACACTCAACAGAACTGACACCTTCTCACCCTGAATTGCCTGAAAGTTTGTGCCCTCCATTCACAAGGTTCATATTCTACTGAGAGCCCACCTTATTGTATTAGCTGCACCTTGCTGTGGGATGTTTTGTTATGTGCACACGTGTGTGTGGATGGGTGGGTGGGTGTGGAGAGCATCCATGCTTAACATGATTTTTTTTTTCAATATTAGTCACCAAAAGGACATATGCAATTTTTTTTTTTTTTGCAAGAGTAGAATGTCAGCAGCAGAATGTATTTTGATTATCTCCCTGTATACCTTAGTAATACATAACTGCTTTAGCAAATGCAAAAAAGATATACTTAGTGGCACTTAGTACCAGTATATCATTTTTAATATTTAACTGTAATGCCAACTGAAACGCATATTTTTAACACGGTGGCAATTATCCACTAGGTTCAGGAGACAAAAAGCAGAGTGATTTCTTTACTCTTGTGTATAGAAGGGAAACCATATAGCATAAACACAAAATATTCCCATTTAAGTTAACAGTAACATGACATCATATACTTAAGTATTTCATTTTGTTTTATGCAAATAAAGAGTAATAAATGTAAGTCATAAGAAACCAGTACATACTCTGAGGAAACCGTGGGGGGTTGTCATTGACATCAGTCAGGGTGATGTTGACTGTTGTAGATCCAGAAAGCCCTCCAACTTGTCCAGCCATGTCTTTGGCTTGAATGACCACTGAATAGTGTTCTCTGGCTTCTCTGTCCATATTATGTAAGGCAGTTCTAATAACTCCTGTAATACATATTTTAACAAAAACAGTATGGTTTATATATTAAATGAGAAGTAGCACAGATATATCTTTTTCCTTTCTGTTTTAAGAAGTGCATTTTTAAATGAAATACTTTCATGAGAAAGCCAGTCTTCTGAGACAAACACTACCTTAAACATGTTACTAAAACCACGTCATCGAATCCTTTGTTTAAAACCACAGGTCCAGAACCATTCTATTCATGGCAATTAAGAAGACCATTAACCATGAGAAACGATGGACTCTGAAAAACAAACTGAGGGTTCTAGGGGGGGGCAGGGGAGGATGGGTAGCCTGGTGATGGGTATTAAAGAGGGCACGTTCTGCGTGGAGCACTGGGTGTTATACGCAAACAATGAATCATGGAACACTACATCAAAGACTAATGATGTAATGTATGGTGATTAACATAGCAATAAAAAAATTTTAAAAAGAGAGACTATGGACTCTGAGAAACAAACTGAGGGTTCTAGAGGGGAGGGGGGTTGGGGGATTGGTTAGCCTGGTGATGGGTATTAAGGAGGGCACGTTCTGCGTGGAGCACTGGGTGTTATGCGCAAACAATGAATCATGGAACACTACATCAAAGACTAATGATGTAATGTATGGTGATTAACATAACATAATTAAAAAAAAAAAAAGAAGAAGCCCATTTCTTTGTGTTCCTTAGGGTAGCTTGGAGAGCAGCTGCACAGCCCAAGCTTGCTCTTCTGCTGGATTACTAAATATTTCACAAGTTGTGCTCCTCACAATGTCAGATAAGATGATTTGAGGAGAGGTTAATTTTCCTCTTTACAGAACAATTTACATAGCTTCCTGACAGGGTTGTCAAAGTTTGATGATGGAAAACATTGAAGAATTGTGGGTACTTGAACAAAGATTGTAGGCAGGAATCATTTTAACATTTATCAGATTAAGAAAGTCACTGTTTTTAACAGGATATAACGACTACAATAAGAACTAGATCTAAGTACCTAAGCAAAACAAAGTGATGAAATTGATCCCCAAAATACCAGGTAAAAGTCACATTCTTGATTTCATAGTGCCAAAGAACACAAAGGTACTTTTTTATGAACTAGTACTTGGATTCAATAAAGATATAAAAAATGTTATGTGTTATATCTCCATTTGTATCAAACATAGGTACATATAAATTAGATAGCTTTGTCAATAGAGCCTTAAATTTAAAAACTTTGAAACACATTTTCCAGAGGGTCAGGGACTATTACCTGAGTTATAAAAAAAAGTCCTCATGTAGATGAGCTATATTATAAATAAGTATATGCATATATGCATATATGTATTTACATTTATTTTATATATGCCTATAAATATATAATATAAATATTTGCTACTCCATATATAGGTCAACATTTAATAACTACCTTTTTTTACTTTTTAAAAAATATTTGGATCATGTCACTTTTTAAAAAAATCATTTATTTGAGAGAGAGAGGGCAAGCAAGCACAAGTACAGGGAGGGGCAGAGGGAGAGGGACAAGGAGACTCCCCGCTGAGTGTACAGCCCAACACAAGACTTGATCCCAGGACCCTGGGATCATGAGATCCCAGGACCTTGAGATCATGTCCTGAGCCAAAGTCAGAGGCTTAACCTACTGAGTCACCCAGGCACCCCACAGATCATGTCACTTTTTGAGAAAGGCACCAATGGCTTCAACCAAACACACAATTGATTAGTTAGTAGTGCAATTCATAGGACAATGCCAATTAAAATAACTGCCAACTACAGAGTTTAACAAACACTTTTACAGACCAGTATATTGATATAATGAGAGAAAATAGGGTTGTATATTCAAGTTAAAAATAGTCTTTTAGAAGTGGAAAGGATTAGTCAATCAGTTTGAACATAGAACACTGGAGCAGTGTTTTTGTTTTACCAAATTGATTGTATGTGTAATGACTTTGAGAGGAGAGCCTCAGGAACCAGGAAAATCGATCCCACAACTTTCAATATTTGTGAATTTTTAATTGAGGGAGTTCAGGAAAATTTTCCTGAAGCTAAATAAAAATGAAAATTATTCTTATCAAGAGAAATTATGATAATATGGTAATAAATGATTCAACTAATTCATGCATACGAAAAAGCCTCAAGCATCCTTATTGAAAAGAACAATGTTTTATCACATATGATAATTATATAAGAAGGAATTGAATTGATGCAGAAATGAACAAGCAAGGAATTTATGAAAATATTTTATGAAAGAAACATATACTTTCTAATATTTGAAAAAAAAATAAAGATGCTCTAAAAAGAATACATTATAAATGGGACTTGCCTCTGGTGTGTAGAAGTTTGAGATTATTGTCCAGGATAATGTTTTACAATGAAATCATTTAAGTGTTATTTGCTAAATATAAAAATATAACAGTAAAATCAATCATTACAAAGTGAATGATAGATATATTTATACAATTTGAATGTTGTTCATTTATGAGAATCAGAGAAGAGAAATCAGCACAAGCCCTGTTTTATAGTATGAATTTCAGTAATTTCATTCCATTGCCATTATATCCCTCCTTTTATAGTACACCTACATCAGGCACAAAGTGAGAAGAGACCCGTCAGCCAAATTTGCTTATGGAAAGAAAACAGTAGGTCCAGGGTTGATACATATTTCTCAGAAATGATTATCTAAGAACCCATTTCAACTCACAGTTCTCTTCAAGATGGTTCAGTGGATGTGCTTAGCTATGACTTCCCCCAAAGGCACATAGGCAACTGGAGAATGCTCTGTCAAATTGTCATAGGAATATGATCCCGGTATACAATAATCTCCTTCTACCACATTGCCCAGATGCTTGTAAGTGGGGTAGCCTAGAACACAGCTGATGCACAGTAACTTATTTTTTCCTTCTAAATAGACATTTTTAGAGCAGTTTTATGTCCACAGCAAAATTGAGAAGAAAGTACAGTTATCGTGAACCCTCTCCCTGTTCCTTCTCGGAGTACACACACACAGCTCTCCCACTATCAACATCCTGCTTCAGAATGGCACATTTGCTATAATTGATGAACCTATATTGAACCTCATCATCACCCAAAGTCCTTAGTTTATATTAGGGATCACTTGGTGTTGTACTTTCTATGGGTTTACACAATGATGGAATGTATTCATCATTATAGTATTGAGTAGAATAGTTTAACTGCCTTAAAAATCTTTTCTGCTCCATCTATTTATCTCTCCCTCCCTCAAGACCTGGCAACCACTGATCTTTTTACTCTTTTCATAATTTTGTCTTTTTCAGAAATCATATAATTGGAATCATACAGTGTATATTTTCAGATTGCCTTTTTCACTTGATAATAGGTATTTAAAGATTCTCAATATCTTTTCATGGCTTGATAGCTCATTTCTTTTTAGTGCTAGATAATATTCTGTTCTTTGGATATACAGTTTGTTTATACATTCACCTACCAAAGGAAATCTTGGTTGCTTCCAAGTTTCGGTAACTATGAATGAAACTGTTATAAATACCTGTATACTGTTTTTGTGTGAACATAAGTTTTCAAATCCTTAAGTAAATACCAAGGAGCATGATTCCTGGATCATATGGTAAGACTCTGTTTAATTTTGTAAGAAACTGCAAAACTGCCAAAGTGGCTGTACAATTTTGCATGCCCACCAACAGTAAATGGGACTTACTGTTGCTCCACATCCTGTCCAACATTTGTTGTAGTCAGTGTTCCAGATTTTGGCCATTGTATTAGGGGTATAGTGGTGTCTTATTGCTTTCATTTGAATTTCCCTGTGTATATGATGTTGAACAGTTTTTCAAATTCTTATTCCCATATGTACGTCTTCTTTGGTGAGGTGTCTGTTGGGTCTTTTGTCCAGTTTTTAAATTGGTTTATTTGTTTTCTTACTGTTGAGTTTTAAGTTTGTTGTATGTTTTAGATAATAGTCCTTTATCAGATTTGTCTTTTTCAAATATTTTCTGCTAGGATATGACTTATCTCCTTATTCTCTTAACAATATCATTCACAGTGTAGAATTAAAAAAAATTGGAGTCAAGATTAACAATTAATTTCTTTCACAGTTCATGACTTTAGTGTTATATTTAAAACATCATTGCCATACCCAAGGTCATCTAGATTTTCTCCCAATTCCTTGTAGGAATTTTAGAGTTTTGTGTTTTATATTTAGGCCTCTGATCCATTTTAAGTTACTTTTTTTTTTTTTTTTAAGGGTGTAATGTCTGTGTCATCTTTTTTTCTGGTGAGACCTCTCTTCCTGGTTTGCAGGCAACTGCCTTCTCACTATGTCTTCATATGTCTTTCCCCCAGTTTGTGCATAAGGATAAAAAAGGGAAATATGGTTCTCTTGTGCTTCTTATTAATCCACTAATCCTGTCATGAGGGCTCCACCCTTATGACCTAATTTAAACCTAATTCCTTTTAAAGGCCACATCTCAAAATATCATCACTTTGGGAGTTAGGGTTTCAACATAATGAATTTGGGGGGGTACACAAATATTCAGCCCACTGATGATTTAAAAATTGTCACCCATAGATGGAGACCAAAGAAAGAGGCTGACCACCCCAGATTGTTAGGTGGCAGTTTTAAAAAGCGAAGGAACTTACATATAAGACTGGCCTTGGAAAGCTGTAAGATGAGTATATCTCCATACCCACTTACAAGAATGTTCTCTAAAAGTTTATATAGAGGACTTAAGTGGTTTCAGTCATAAAAACAGTCTAGATAGTCTCAACAACATACTGCTTACTCAGGCTGCTTTCTTAAAAAAACTGCTTCCACCATGGGACAGTGGGTAGAAAGCCTATTTCAAAGACAAGGGAGGAGGTGAGGAATTTTGATTGCCTATGTTCAGCTTGTAGGTCAACCGGAGGTCATATCCTCTTAATGACCACCCCCAACAGCCATAACAACTCCTTCAGGTGAGTCCAGTGCAAGTGGGTGCAGGCCATAGTTTGAAAAGACAAAACTCAAAAGATGAAGTGCTG